AAGCCCCTTAGAATCAGAATGTGCGTGAAACCGAGACGAGTAGAGCGGGATATTCCTTTCAGCATACGACTATCGTACTCGATGTCGGCAGTTAGCCTCCTGTAAATGACTCCGACCAGTCACCTCGAAGTAGCAGACAATCTTACAGAGCACCATATGGATTCCTCAAGATTGTTAAACTCGAGGTTGTGAACTTGGTGCACCTCCAAGCAAGAACGTATGTAAACGGCTACTCCGCCCCCAATTCCTGATTTTCTGTCGTTGCGGAACAAAGACATTTCAGGTAATGCTAACTCATGGTCCGAGAACTGAGAAGATATTCAAGTTTCAGATATTCCTATCAGATGGGCCTTATTAGCGTTGCTAAGTTCACGTAGTTCATCCAGTTTGTTTGGTAGACTCGCGGCGTTCATATATAAGCAGTTTATGCCTTCAATTTGGAACGCGTGAGCTTCGTCCTGTTTTTCTGTATGAACCTTATGTGAATGGACAGGTAGCCCAACTATATGAGGTTTGCCGAGGTGGTAGGCCCTGTCCTTTACACGTTTTTTTATCGTTTAGACAGTCCACAAGTGGAATGGTCAGCTCCAACTTGCCTTTGTTCTTGGTCCTAACTTCGTATGGCCTATCCGGGTGCATGTGGATTCCAGGTGGCAATCGACGTCTATTAGCACGAAATGCTTCCAGAACTGCAGCCGCCATGTGGGAAGATGGGAAGGTTATCTTCATTAGACGGGGTCTAAGATCACCGTCCTTCTTGGCTAGTCTCGTCACATGCTGAGTCAGTATGTGTTTGAGCCTCAAGGACTGTTTGATGAATTTCCATTCCCTGATGTCAGTTTTTGATTGAGTAGGGTCCGTATTTTCCGGTATACCTTGCACGATTATATTCCTCCCGCGGGAAAACTGATCGCGAGATTCTTTGAGGATGTTCCGTATGAGATTGCGCTCAGAATACGATATGTCAGGTAGTATTCTTACATTCCCATATGATTTTGAGTAAATGACTCGCTAGTAAGACATCCTCTACGTCGGTAGCATTCTTAAGTGTTACACGAAGTAGCCTCGGGTGACTTTGATGCTTAGATTCGTTTTCCCGAGTGGGCCGTGTGACTAACAAAGGCTCTGTTCTTGGAAGTCTAAGTTTCTTGTTCAGTTCTCCCCAGAGCATCCTATCATGTTTTCCTGCAAACTGAGAGGAAGGTCAGAATTGTCTTTGAAGTTCATGACTATGAGAGAATCGTCACGAACTGTTGTTAATTTACCAGGTTTCACGATTGGTTCAGGTTTTATAACTTGTTGTTTGGAGGTCAGTGTGCGTTTGTGAATCATGGGCTCTTTATTGACCGGACGAACAGTCTTGGGGGTAGACTGTGCGACTAAATCACCAGTTATTTTCCGTGCAGCAACACCTGAGTCTCTTTAATAACTCCCTATCATTTCAGTAGGTGGATATGTATTTTATCATATGGATTTGCTACCTAAGGGCTTTCATAAAGTTAATAGGTGTAGGAAGATGTAAGACAATATAAGTGTTCTGTATTCTCAATAGATCACTGAATTATTTCTATAATTACCCAACTTTTAAATTTACTCGAAACCCACTGGTTTATCCCAAGCTTTGTTTTTTTGACTTCTGAAACTGCCGAAGTCCTGTCTTTTGGAAACCCCACTGATGGATATACACATAGTATGGGATGGTGGAGATTTGTAGCTCAGGTCGATGATTTTGATGGAGTTTTATTCCCTGAGCTGGATGGCTTGGTCGTGGAGCTTTCACCGTTCTTCTGAATGACATCAGCACAAACTTCATTTATTTGAACACGAATATTGGTACAAGAGAGCGCCAATATATATGCGCCACACAAAACAATGAGAATCCGAAGAGAAATAGAAAAAGAAAGCTAAGGAGCGCAAAAAAAAGAGAATAATAACGAAGAGATTGGTCTAAGGTGGTATGGTAGAAATGAGGGAACGGAAAGGTACAATCAGAAGAAATCTTTCAGTTGAGGGAGACATAACCACTTTTTATGAAGAAAGTAAAAAAAGGTTACAGCAGGATCGCCACTGGCTTCTATTCTGAGCCATATCTGATAACGTCTCTAGCCACTGTGTAGCACCATCTTTCAGACCCCAACCAGGGAGCCGTGAAGGACTAACAGAAGCCAGTCCTTTGCAGCTTTCTTTCATGCCACGACACCATGTCATGCACTGACCACCTCTCCGCTTCTTCCAACCAGTCCCAGAGTCGGCAAATAATGCACGACGTGGAATTCTCTGGGACGACATTCGGAGAACATGTCCAGGCCACCGAAGTCGGTGTTTCAAGATGGTGACACTAATTGAATTATCATCTCTGTGCCCGAACACACAATGCCGAACCTCTGCATTACTGACATGGTGTTGCCACTGAATGTCAGCAATCCTTCGGAGACAGCGATGATCGAACACAGAGAGTCGTCTAACGTCCTCAACTCTGAGAGACCAGGTTTCACAAGCATAGAGCAAAACTGCTCTCACCGACGCGTTGTAGATCCGACCTTTTACAGCCAGACTAACATCACGAAGGCGCCACAGATAGACCAGATTGGCATAAGCCGCTCTGGCTTTCACTATACGTGCATTGATCTCATCATTCACACCCCCACCAGCACTTATGCAGCTACCCAGATACACGAACATCTCGACTACTTCTGTCTGCTAACCATCCAGGAAGAGTACAGGGTTGGATTCCTGCCAGTCTTGTAGAAGTACTTTGCACTTCGAAGGTGCAAAGCACATACGATACATACGGACACTGATTGCCAACTGATTAAGTGAGCATTGCATGCCTTGGGCATTATCGCACAGTAAGACAATATCGTCCGCATACTCAAGGTCGAGAAGTCTTTCTCCAGGCAACAGATCCACACCACCATTACTTACATTCATCAGAGCTGTTTCCAGAATGTCATCGATGGCAAAGTTGAAGAGGAATGGTGAGATTGGGCAACCTTGCCTAACCCCACTGCTCGAATGGAACAATGAAGAAAGGTGTTTGTATGCCCTCACTCTGCCTGAGGTGTTTGTATATAGGGCTTTTAGAATGTTAATAAACTTCTCAGGCACACCTTTCTTCAATAGACAATCCCAGAGAACTGTCCTGTCCAACGAATCGAAGGCAGCCCTGACCTGATGTCAAGAAACACTACGATTGTTGGCCTTTGAAAAGTATGACGGTGTTCTAACATTTGGCGGAGGGTAAAGATATCATCAATACATCCTCGACCAGAACGAAACCCAGCCTGCTCCTCGCGATTCAATCTTTCTCGGGTTTTGAACAACCTACGAAGAATGACGGAAGCCAATAGCTTGGACGCAATCGGAAGTAGACTTATCTCCCAATAGTTGTTACAGGAACGATGTGAACCCTTTTTAAAGATAGGGACAACTATCGACTCATTCCATGACGTTGGTACACTCTCTAGTTCCCAGACCTTTGTAAACAACGTCGTCAGTCCCTTAGTCAAAAAGTCACCACTATCTTTAAAAAGAGCCGTAGGTAAGTCATCTGGGCCAGGTGATTTGTAACGCTTCAAGAGTTGGAGTTCCTTGCGGACTTCCTCCTCGTTTGGTGGATCAGTCGTCACCGGCCATGGAGAGCAGGACAGTCTGACCGATGTTGCCGGAGCAGCAGGCCAGTTGAACTGCCCTTCGAAAAATTCTGCTCATCGTCCAAGACGTCGATGGATGTTAGTGGTTGGCATCCCATCATCCTCGCAGATTGTTTCACTCACACCAGACTTCTTGCTGCCAGTGGCTCAGATGAGTTGGAAGAGCTTCCGGTAGTTACCAGATGCAGCTGCTGCTTCCAGCTCATTAGCACGCTTCGACCACCAGGCTTCTCGGTCCTTACGCAAGCTTTGCCCCATTTCTTAACGTAGCATCTTTTTTTTATGGTCAAACTCACGGTCACCTCGAGTAGACCGACGGGCTTCAATGAGTTGTAAGAAACCTGCAGAAACCCAGTGCTTATAAGCGGGACGTTTTGCGAACTCACAACTGACTGTACCCGCCATTTTCATGGCGTCATGCAATTGCAACCAATGCTCATCTATACTTTTCGGTGGAATGGTAGCTAGCCTAGAAACTAGCTCGGTTCGATACTTACTAGCAACAGAAGTTGCAACCAACTTGCTAATATCAATCCATTGATGGCGGTCACTTCGTTGTCCACTGAAAAGTAAGGTAAGATTGGCACAGACCAGGGCAAGATCAGAGTCCAGATAGGTGCTCCTAAAGGAGCGGCAGTCTTGTACACAACCACGCCAGCGGTAGCTGATTGCGATGTGATCAATCTGAGTCCAGGCTTGAAATGTAGAGGGAGGACGCCAGGTGGCACATCGGCGATGACTGTGCCGAAAGTTAGTGCTAGCCAGAAACAGGTTGTGGTCTGCACACAGTTGCAGTAGACGGTCCCCGTTATCTGACCTGCGACCAACGAGTCCCCATCGGCCGCCTAAACGACTCTCTTCTGTGCCTAGACGCCCGACCTGAGCATTCAAGTCTCCGGCTAGTACTACAATATCTGTCGAACGCACTTTCTGGAGAACAGTTAACTGGTGGTAAAACTCATCCTTGATTGCATCCGGGCTGCAATCTGTCGGAGCATAGGCGGATATGACGAAAAGACATCGTTTCTCACGCCGATTTCTTCTCACTTTGATGGAACTTTCTGATCTAACAGCACATAACCGACTGTTAATGGGGATCCAATCGATTAGTGCTGCCTCAGCTCTAGCGCTTGGTGCGACGCCAGCAAGACCAGACGAAGATGCTACAGGGTCTCCGGATAAGCGCACGTAGAACAAGCTTTTTGAAGTGACAGATGGAAAGCGAATTTGTAGTACTTCACCAGAGTCTTGAATACGGGTCTCGGATAGACAGCAGACATCGATATTAAGACTTTCCAAAGACATAGCCAACCCTATCTGTTGTCCGACCTGCGTAAGTGTGCGAACGTTGAAGGCAGCCAGTTTGAATGGCACAAACTTCAGGTAGCTTTGTTGTCATTCAGAAGGACGACGAGAGCTCCACGACCAAACCATCCAGCTCAGGGAACAAAACTCCACTAATATTATGGGTCTTACTCATGATTCTTAAGACGCAAAGCTTGACTGTGGCCAAATTTTAACTACTCTTAATAAGATGGTGCGTAGCACCTGGCTTTTTTATGTTAAGACTGACAGTAAGTTCGCTGCACTAACGGTCTGTTTCAGATTTAGTGCTGCAATTATAACTCAATAGACATCGATTTGGCACACAAACAATTAAATAAAAACCTTAATTTCGTCCTTGTCATATGCACTAATTTCCAACATCTCTACTTCTATCGTAAGCTGTATCCATATATTATTGTCCCTATATTTCTCATCAGTTTATCATGGGTAGATAGTTTTTTGGTGTGTTCGTTTGACAAGATTTATCCTCCCGATGGCTTTTATTTTCCAAAAGGTTATAATATAACATAAATAATAAAAAATAACACTCAGTACAGCAGATGTCTTTTCTGTTCAAAATAGTGTACATTAACAGTAAAACATGCTGTCGTTCGTAAGTTTCTGATATGAAATTCCAACCCACTGTTTTAGGACCGAATTCTCACTAGGGGGAAGGGCCTGGTCGATTTCCCGCTCTGTTCAAAGTAACGAATGTGTATCTTTGCATTAAAAACGGATATTCGTAATACATAGTGATATTGCGTTCAAACAAAGACTCCTAAAATTCTCGCTTTCTTTAGTCTTAATACCTGGTCATCTGAGTAAGAATGTCTACAAAGGCTAGACGCCGTCTTATGAACGATTTCAAGAAAATTCAACTTGATCCCCCTCCTGGTGTATACGCTGTTCCACTTGATGACAACATAATGAAATGGCATGCAATTATTTTGGGGCCGGATGGCACAGCATTCGCAGACGGTATATTTCGGCTAACAATGGAGTTCACCGAGAACTATCCTAACGTCCCACCGATTGTGCGATTCGTTTCCAAAATGTTTCATCCTAATGTGTATAGTGATGGTAGTATATGTTTGGATATATTGCAAAACATGTGGTCTCCGTCATATAACATTGGAGCAATATTAACATCATTACAATCACTTTTGGGGGACCCGAACCCCAACTCTCCTGCAAATACGACAGCAGCAGAATTATTTGAAGAAGACAAACGCCAGTATGAAACACAAGTCCGAGCCATTGTTGAGGAATCGTGGCGAAACGATGAACCTGTTGATTGACTTAGTACTGTATTTGAGCACTTGATTTATGTACTTGTAAATAATATTAATTTCTGAAGTGTACCAGTTCTTATAACATAATGTATGAATAACATATTATCTAAGACGTAGTTTACGTACACTGTTATTTTTAATATTACAATTTATGAAATCGCGTTTGGTTATTTCTCAAATATGACGACGGCCTGAGATCATTGCTTAGATTTACGTAATTACTAACTGAAATATGAGAGCAAGCACTAGTTCTGTTCAGCAGTCTTCGATTATTAATTCTCGTGTGCTAATGACAGAAAAATCAGCCCAACTAGCATAGTTTCAAAAATAACATCGCCTAGAATCAGACGATGTCTTAACAAAGCACAGAAGTCTGAGTTTGGACTTCCCAAAATGTTAATTGAATCTAGTCATTTAAACCACGAATTAAGGACGGAATTTGTTCGTATATGACTTTGAAATAAAACCCTACAGATCCTGTTGGTGAATTTATCTGTCATCCATTAGTTCTACAGATTTAATCATTACGGTTAAGTATCATCATTAGTGTAAGATCTAGTCAGTACATGCATCGAGTCACTCGGTCATATTTCTCTCTAGCACACGAGGAAGTTGAATTTATGGTAGTACTCGTTGTGATAATGAACCAAAAATATTACTATCTCAAAAAGAACCAATGAAACAGGAAGGTAAGAAATGAATTTATCACTCCACATGAAATGAAAGATATCAGAGTAGCCAGTAATAAGGCATTTCAACTGACTTAGTTGGTACAAAGTCTTAACCGACTCGCTAATTTTACTCAGTACACTCAGCTTGATCCCAACATTCTACTATGTGCGACCAATCCTTCGTAGACATCTGTAGTCGAACGTTACCAATTTAAAAATGTAATTGACCCTCACAAAATATGTTTCACAGACAAAACTAGGTATCTTGGCCTCAGGTTGATATAAATTCACCTAAACATGATAAGTCTTTTATCAAGTGCTAGATGCAGTGCTTCTACATTTCAGACATGAGACTTACGCATATTTTGTCGTAGGAACAGCGATGTTGCAGATATGCTATAATACTCACACGCTTCAGGTTTACGTAGGTTCTGATCAGTCAGCTAAAACGTAGCATCAAGTACATGTATGCATCGGTCCAAGTTGCCATACCTCATTGACACAACAAGATGAACACCGAATTCATAGAATTAATGGTGGTAATGTATAAAAGAAAGATTGGATATAATGATATAGTACAGGAAGAAAGAATTAGTTGGTAGAAAGAAGGATATAACTAACTACTAATACACGTACAACTGACAACCAGATATATGTAAGAGTGAGGGGATATAACACTATTAAATCATAGTTATCCTCTAATAAATATTCGCGAATAAAAAGTAAACGGATATTCGGATTCCCCATACTTATGTCACTTCCACTCAACTCATTTGTTAAAAAATGAAACTGTTCAACTGAGGTGTGATAGATTCGATAAGAGCATGCAATCTTAATACTAACGTGATCCTGAGGGATTAAACCATGTTTGAACTGGTTGGGTTGGTACAATGTTTACCTCTAGTTAACGGTTGTGCACACTAAGAGGCGTTTTTTTAACTCAGAAACTAATTTTACAGATCAGTCATTCTGACACCCGATTGCTCGAGTGAGGGATTATCATTTCACTGCAACACCAATATGTTCAGTAAAGTAAAAAATTTAGTTTACCGTTCATTTGCCATCACAAAAATTTCAAAACGACCCCAAAGCTGCACCTCGAGCTGAAGTAGCCCAGGTCGGCTAACGAGATATGTATCTATAATACACAAGTTGGAAAATAATCAATCAGGTTAAGTATCATTCCTAACTTTAAATTGCTCAATACGATATAACTGTCCTAACTAGATATTATTACTATCTTCGAGTGACATAATAACTTGGTATGTCGGTGAGTTTGAAACTTCTCCCAACTTTTTTACCTAAAGTGTATATGGTGTAGTTCTACTTAAATACTAATCTTGATTTTTACTGTTTTCGGTCTATCTGTTCGATATTTCTATCAGTTACGTTCTTTGATATAAATGATTAAGAACGAAATTTTCAACAATTTTTTTTGCCAATCGCATAGTCTCTAATAAAATGGAGGCAATTTTCATTTTTAACATCCTTAAATCAATTTTCTTGTCATCGTACGATTAAGAAGTATTTCTAGGAGTAACTGTCCGATTCGGTCATTCTAACTACTATATTAAAGATTAAGTTGTTGGTTGGCGACAAACCTTAGGCTTAGGAAATAATTGATAATACTCTTTTGATTGGTGTCAGCTACGCTGATAACAAAACGATTATATAGACTAACATATATAAGCGAACAATATTGTTTTCAATTAGATCCTCATAAGGCTTTACCCCAATATACAGTAATGTTCATATGCATATACGAAATTATTAAACCAATCAAGACGGTTTATGAGTCAATGGTAACAGTGGAATAGACTACATAAATAAACATAGTAAGTAAAGAGTACAAATTGGTAGTGTGATGACAGGTTACTAGTTGTGATAAGAATAACAAACTCGTAAATTCATGTTTCATAATGGGAAATAGGTCAATGGCTTGAAAAAATAAAAATGCTGAAATAGCATCCACAAATACTAAGACTACGTAATGAGAACTGTTTAGATGATTGAACGACGAAGCGTGTATTTGAAAAAAAGAGTGGAAGGAGGTGCAGAAAGACAAACGAGTATGGGAAGTAATAATAAATAAGTCTTATTAAGGCTAATTTGGTGTCAAGGTAGAGATAAAGATGTTACAAATTTCTTATGAATACTATGACTTGGATTGTTAGTTTGGATTTCTATAGCTACTGCTACATGTAAGAGACAAGATCAAACTACATAAGGAAAACTAGTAGGAATACGATAAATAGCTTTGAATGACCTATTTCTGTTTATTCTTATCACAACTAGTAACCTGTCATCACACTACCAATTTGTACTCTTTACTTACTATGTTTATTTATGTAGTCTATTCCACTGTTACCATTGACTCATAAACCGTCTTGATTGGTTTAATAATTTCGTATATGCATATGAACATTACTGTATATTGGGGTAAAGCCTTATGAGGATCTAATTGAAAACAATATTGTTCGCTTATATATGTTGGTCTAATTCACAATATGGGAATTTTTAAGACTATATAGACCACCACGAAGTCAGGTAATGTCAAATAATGCAAAACCATATAAAATCAAAAGATATTTTCATATGATACAATGATGAGAAACTAATAAACTCAGAATTAAAGTAATCAGGATTTATCAGATGGGGCTTTGACTTATTAACATTCGAGTTAACGAGAAAGTAGTTGGCGGTCAAAAGTATACGGGAAGAATCACAGTTCATTAACTTTAAAGGACTGTCAAACGGCGGGATGTTACTTCATGAATTAGGTGGATCTTTGCTGACGGGAACGATACAGCTGACGCGCATGGTTCAAAAGAGCTTCACGACGTTCACTAAGGCTCAATTGACGTGAACTAGAGTTCGGTAGGAATTGTGGAGCAGCAACTGTGAACCTGCTGGGAGACATAGCAGACATAGTGGGGTCGCCCTGATTACTGTCTCGTTGAGTATCCGAGTCATGTGGATTTTCCAAAAGGTAATCAATAGCTGATTCAACGTCACCTTGAGTATTCACTAAACAAAAAATGTATCAATTGCAGATATAATATTTACACTGGGTTAAAAAAAACGTGATATTTTTAAGGTAGAAACAAAAAACCATATACAAAATGAAGGTTACGTACATTGACTTCCCATTTTTATCATACAAAAATATTGAACCAACTTAAAATTCATTGACATATGACAGATTTTCCTCTACATCAGAATAAGTCGTTCAGCAATCAAAAGATGTAGATTACATTATGTCAAGATAATTTATCATGTTCTTACTTTAACACCAGTATGATTTTACTTTCGTAACAAAAATATGAATCACCAGTTACATATAATGAAATACAATGAAATCCAATTTTCTACTCATTGGGATATTACAAATATATTATTTTTATTTATATAATGAAATACGTTCAGTAAGTATCTTATTCTCTAGGACATGATAATCAGTACCGTGGTTGGTTTCCCTAGTATTCCTCAGCATAATTTTGTTAGTGCTAAATAGTTTTGAATGCGACTGACTAAAACTCCCTCAAAAACCTACGAGACTGTAACAATTATGACAATATCTGGCACTTACAATATTTGCGTAATGACCTTAAAACATCGATGTGATCTTTTTCGATAGGCTTTTAAAATTCTGAATTTCTGAGACTGACAGTGAAACTTTAGTATCTAAGCTACGATATATCCTACGAGCCCATACACTTTTCTTGTCTCATAGTTGACTCAGTTTCGCAGTAGAAATGAATCAATTCTGCGTGCCTAAGTGAAGAATGCAATATACTGAGTTCAAATACTTATCCCCAGGTAACCACACTTGAGAAGTAAACTTCAGGCCATTGTCCAATAATTTGGTATGTGGTGTAAAGAACAGATTGTTATTGGGTCTCAGTAAGAACGTATCTGATTTTCATATCGGACACTGCTAACAGTTATCTTACAAGCATCTCAAAGCAATACTACTAGTGTTTTACTATATCAAAACGAGTGTAAAACCGTGTACGTATGGATAGTTGCTTTACACATCAAAAGCCTAAAAATTAGATTACAAGCAGAATTATAGTTCCTACCTAACTAAGAGCAGTGTTACACTAAATATAAAATCTTACCAAGAGCTTCACGGATCCGGAACGCCGGTATGTCACGAAGTATTTCACTGATTCGAGGTACTAGATGTTCGAAAGTGAAGCATGAGTAGGTCTCGGAGGCTTTATGACTGGGCTGGATACAGTGGCGAAGACGAACTCCATCAGACTCGAGTATGTTTGAAATTAAAGAATCGCTTGATGAACTCGTAGAATGCTTTCTAGACAAAGGGGAACTGGGTGGCGTTGCAGATAAACTAGACATAGTACAAGATCGCGCATTATGGATAGAAAGCGAAGCAATGGGTGGTTCCGCTCCAGTGTACTAGAAGTAAAAAGTAATTTAGGGGAGAACTATCTCATAAGAAAATGATTTGATAAAAATAATTGTAT